ATTCCGACTGAACTTAATTAATTCCGAAAATAATAAACGCTAACGTTACTATATCGAACGTAATTTATACTGATAATATCTCGGGATATTACAGCTTCTCAATTTCAAAACTAAATCCCTAATGCTCTGTAAAATATGGGCCATTGTTGTTTGGTGATAGCCTTTTATGATTGTATGATGAAATATGAAGGATTAGTGTATTTAGAACACCCAGATGTCAAAATGTTGTTTGTGACCCTATTTGAAGCTCGATCTTACAATTGTTTTTTTTTTTACAATAGTTATTTGTAGTTAAAGTAATTTTTATATGTGAAAAGTTGGAATTTGATATGGTTATTCATATAAAAATTAAGTTACTTTTTTGGATTGATTTTTTAACACTCTAGCTTAATCGAAATTGAAATTAGAAATTAAAAATTATCCAAGTTTAAGAGGAGGCACTTATAGGGGTGAGAAAAACCGGCCAAAACCGAAAATTGCACCGAACCAGTGAATTCGGTGCGGTTCGGTGCTGTTTTTTAGTTCGGTTACGGTTCGGTTAAATTTTTAGAAAACCAAAAAACATTTGGTGCGGCTCGGTTGTCTGTCCGATGGGTGCGGTTTTAACCAAACATCACCGAAAATATGGTAATTTTATTACTTACATACAACATACAACTGAGTGATTTTTATTACATGATTTACACGATTTTTGTTACACGAATTGTATAACCTAAAACCTAATTTGCACTCAGTTTTCACTTTTCAGTCTCTGTCTCTCATAATCAAATCGCGTTCTCACTTCTCTCAACTCTCAACTCTCAACTCTCACTCGGTCTCTCAACTCTCGTCTCTCGCAGCACCGATCAACAATCTCACTCCCGATCAACACCGATATTCGGGCGCTCTCACCCGTGCTCACCCACCGGCGCTCTCAACCACGATCTCAGTCTCTTACCCTACGGCAGTCCAGCTCCGGCGTTCGCTCTTCAATTTATGTCAATCTCACTCCCTCAGTCTTCTTATTTTTGTTTCTCATTTCGTCACATTTCTTCAGTATTGGATCCGAAAATCAATCATCTGGTCTGAAAATCTTCAATGTTGGAGGTTGAAATAATTAAATTTTTGCCCTAATTTCAGCCCCAATTTTGATTTTTATTTACTTATTTTTTGTATAATATTGTAAGTGAAATTAGGATCCCTCAGTCTTCTTACCGCAATTTCATTTTTTTTTCAGAACTTTGTTGTTGAAGAGATGGCAGAAGATTCACCGACAGGAGGTCCGTCATCTCCATTGAGGAATGATGAATCTGCTGCAAGTCAGACTCAGACCTCAAAATTAAAGAGGATCCGTCTAGGGAGTTCAAGTTATGCATCTGCTGCTACTGTTGGTACCGAGATTGCAAGGGACGGTGGTAATTCAAAAAGGTACATAGTTTGGGAACACTTCGACCGGGGTAGTCGACTGTATATCCAGAGACAAATTCAAACATTGCAAAAAAATGTACATACGTGATACTCGAAGGAATGGTACGTCTTCACTTCTTCATCACATGTCTGTTTGTAAAGCTAATCTGAATGTGAACGAGAAAAAACAATCGAAATTGGTTTTGCAATCAATAGCAGAGGATGGTGAAATGGCAGGTGGTTTAATTAGTTGGAAATTTGATCAAGAAGCCATTAGGTCACAACTAGCTAGAATGATCATTGTTGATGAGCTTCCATTTCGGTTTGTGGATGGTGATGGATTCAAAAACTTCATGTTTGTTGCACAACCTAGGTTTAAAATTCCCCCTTGTTGGACTGTGTCACATGATTGTTATCAGTTATACCTAGATGAGAAGTTAAAATTAAGAAATTACTTCAAAAGTTATGGAAAAACTATTTCTATTACCACTGATACTTGGACTTCCGTGTAAAAGATTAACTGTATGTGTATTACTGCCCACTTCATTGATGAAGAATGGAACATAAATAAAAAGATCATCAACTTTTGTCCCATTGGGAGTCACAAGGGTGAGGATTTAGGAAGGTAAATAGATAGTTGTTTGCGTGATTGGGGAATCTCAAAGGTGTTTTCTATTACCTTTGATAATGCATCTTCTAATGATACTTGTCTTACATATTTGAAAAGTAAATTGACTTCTCGAAGTTGTGCTTTTGTGAAAGGCAATTTTCTTCATATGAGGTGCATTGCTCATATTATCAATTTGGTAGTAGTGGACGGTATAACTGAAATCAAGTATTCCATTAAGAAGATTCGTCATGCGGTTCGATTTGTGAAACAATCTCTGGCTAGATTGACAAAATTTCGAGAATGTTGTGATGATGAAGGTATTGTAAGCAAAAGCTTGTTATGCTTAGGTGTGAGCACTAGGTGGAACTCCACTTACTTGATGTTAAATGTTGCACAAAAGTTCGTGATGGCGTTTGAGAGGTATGAAATCAAAGATCCTTACTTTAAAATAGAGCTCAAGCATGGAACACCGTCAATTGTTGATTGGGAACATGCTAGAAGGATGTTTGATCACTTCTACGAGCTAACATTGAGGATTTCGAGCACATCTTATGTCACCACGAATGAATTTTATCATGAAATTAGTTCGGTAAATTGCTTGTTAAGAGAATGGATTGCTAGCGATGATGATCTTGATATCAAAGCAATGGGTGAAAAAATGAAATTCAAATGCAATAAATATTGGGGGATCCAAAAAAATATGAACTATCTTAATTATGTGGCGGTTTTTGTCGATCCTCGCTACAAGTTGGAGTTCCTTGAGTATGCCTTTTGTGAAGAGCACGGAGAAAAGAACGGTTCGGAGATCTTCAAGAGTGTGAAAGGGAGTGTTCAAGAGTTGTTTGAAGCTTATAAGTTGATTTATCAACCTCATTGTGCCACGTCCACACAATGGATGAATCGAGTTTCAAGTTTAAATGAATCTTCTCATCCCGATATTTCTCATCCCGATCTTTCAAAGAATAAATCAAGATATCACTTGGGAGATAAGTTCATAAGGCACAAGATGGAGAGTGGAGAAGTAGAAAGTAAGTGTGACTTGGATGTTTACTTGAAAGAGAGTGTTCTTGTTGTCGAGAAAGATGATTTTGACATTTTGATGTGGTGGAAACTCAACCAAAGTAGATTTCTCTACCATGGCGTCGAAGTCCGCTTTTAGCACCGACGGTCGTGTTCTTGATGATTATAGAAGTTCTTTAACTCCTAAAGTTGTGGAGGCTCTTATAGGTGCTCAAGATTGGTTGAGAAAAAAGAAGTCCAAATGGACCAAGTCCCTTGAAGAGAGCCTAGAAGACATTGCAAAAATAGAATAAGGTACTCTAATGTAATGTGTTCTAATTTGACATTAATTGTGTTATATATTAATTGACTAACTTTTTAATTTATTTTCTATAATAATAATAGCTTTGCAAGGTGTTGGGATTAACGATGTCAATGACAATGAAAACACAATGGAGGAATAAGAATGCAAGATTTTTTTACTGTTTTGTTTATTTTTTTATGTATTTATGTTCTATTTACCTTCTTTGTTGCTGTTGATTTTTATGCAGGTCTGGAGGCTTTTTTGTTTCACTGGAGTTTGGAGTTTGGAGGCTTTTCTGCTCTGTTTCTGTTCTATTTATCCTTCTCTGTTTGCTGTTTTGGGTGAATGCAAGGGTATGTTTCCTTCATATTGTGGGACTTGTGTTATTTTGTTCATTTGTTTTTGTTGGACTTATGCTATGTAATATGTTGACTTATGTTGTTGGATTTAACATGTTATGTTGTTGGACTTATCTCACTTATGGGCTGAAGGTTATTTTGACTTTTGTTTGTAATGGATTATAGACTTATGGGCTGAGGTTGTTTATGGATTATGGACTTATTAATTTATTATGTTGTTGGATTTAATACATGTTGTTTAATGTGTGTGCTTAGGTTTTTTTTTCGGTTATAACCGCAGAGAATCGCATCGTACCGCAGTTTCGGTGCGGTTTTCGTGCGGTTTTTCTTCAAAATCTGTGTGGTTTCGTTTGGATAATTTTAAATTTCTGGTTTTCGGTTTTTACGGTTCGGTGCGGTTTTTCACCAAACTGCACCGATGCTCACCCCTAGGCACTTATTTGGTGTACAAATGCAACAGTTGGCTCCATAGTGGAGCCAACATTCTATATGCAACAAGTAAGTCATACCATACTCTCTGATTTCATTGAATAAATACTAATAATTTTATTAATATGGTATTGTTTACTTGTTGTATATCGAAGGTTGACTCCACTATGGAGCCAATTATTACCTTCATAGCAAAACTGATTTGGTGTAATGCAAACCTCTGTGCTGCCTTGTTAGCAGTTTAATGGGTAATTTGTAATTAAACACAAAACCTATGCCTTAAATGAATCCTGATTAGACAAACACCCAATAATGTCATAAAATTTAAAATATTTGTTTTATTTCTTTATATAGGAGGAGACACTTATTTAGTGTAGTACAAACTTCTTTAAATCATACATCTGCTTTATGCTACATAAATCATACATGTGTGTCGTGAATTCTTTCTCTTTTTGTCTTTTGTTGTTGGTAATTCAAGTTTGTAGTGAGTCCTATTGCTAAAGACATTTACTTGATGTTGCACAATCATGTGAGTTGCTTCTTTTTTGCTTAGTATAATGTTTTTGTTTGTTGGAATTTAGTTCTTCTATTTGTTGTAGGGTTCACTTTGTTTTAGCGTTCTTCGTTGTCCTGCATTGTGTATTGCAGTTTTTTTGGTTTGGCCCAAACTCGTTGGTTGGAGTGTTGATAAGATGTTCTTTACCTTTCTATGTTCTATATATATATATATATATATATATTGATTCTTGACTTTGGGCACACCTTGAATTAGAGTTTAGATTCCCTTGTATTATTGTAGTTGCTTGGGCGTGCCCTTTTAGCTGAAGCTTTATTCTTTGGTTGGACCTTCAGTAGGCATTTATGGTTAGGGCGGACTTCGACTTTGCAACCATTTAATTACACGAATGCATATTGTTTTAGTTTCATAATATGGTTTTTATTGGTATAATACTTTGATAAAACAAACCCTACGAAAATAAAATCAATGGATACATTATTTGTTCCTTTTTAATATTTTGGTTAGGGTTATGCTGGCCCAATTCGAGGCAGTGATTAAGGACTCCTCCAAAGCATTGTCCAGTGGCGGCGTCCACCCGCTCACCCGCTACGTGATGTATTTTCTCGTTTTCATCGCTGATCACAGCGGGGCGATTTCCGACATAGTTGACGAATTTACGGTGAGTGTGTGGACGCCTTTGCCGGAAGTGCATTTTTCGAGCCCCTTCTCCGACAGCGCAGAGGATCCGTCGGCAGCGAAGATAACTACTAGGCTGGCATGGCTCGTCTGCTTCCTCCTGCGCAAGCTCGATGATCCTATTCAATTTGCGGACGTGATGAGATTTGAGAAAGTGGTTAATGGCTAAATTTGTAATCTCCAATAATCCTATGAAATTTATTCTATATGTAAACATGGTTTTATTTTCGTAAAAAACACAATCTATTTGTAAATAAGGGATAAAAATTCAGATCAAACAGCAACCTGGATTATATAGTCCAATCCCATCGAGTTATGTAGAAGAGCCATAAGAGAAATAACATAAATAGTTCGTCAATTTTACTTTTTTCTTTTTAACAATGACGTCCTTCCGTAATAGGGGATTATTTATTATTTATCAAATAAACAAGGTTTTAAATAACGATCTAAAACGTTTATGGCACTGTAGCTATAGCAGAGCTATAGCGGAGATTTAGCGGGATTTAACGGCTAAATTGCACATGAATACAAATAGCGACACGCTGCCAAAAAAACATATTTCTCAAATAGCAGCAACTTTAACGAGTTATTTAGTGTATGTTTGGAAGCACTTTTGTAATGGACTTTTGACTATAAAAGTCCATTTCCAATATAAAAAGATGTTTGGTGTAAACAACAAAATGGACTTTTAAAAAAGTAACTCCTACAAAAAGTCTATTTCAAAGAAGTCTATATTGAAGACTTCTTGAGAAGTCACTTTTCAAAAAGTCCATCTTGAAATGGACTTATCAATAAGTGTTTCCAAACAAGCCCTTATTTCCTTGCAAATAAGTGACACTCACGTATCCCACATCATAGCACGCTGCCAGAAAAAGATAATTTTTTAAATAACGGCAACTTTAGCGAGTTATTTATTTACAAATAAGTGACACTCACGTATCCCACATCATATAAATACAATCTCATCTCACACAGCAAACAAACCTGCCATCATCATCTGCTTCTACTGCTCTTTCCCATAACATCCCAAATAAAAGTTTGTGAAAACGACAAATATGTAACCACCCAAAAGACTTTTCTTGCATTTCAAGGTATTACTTCTTTATTCTTACATAAAATTGATCCTACATGGCATAAACACAGCACAAAATCGAAAAAGAAAAAATATCCTCGTCTAGTCGTCGTTTCTTCAGAAAAAAAAAAAAAAAAAAAAAAAAAAAAAAAAAAAAAAACTTCTCCTGCAAGATCACGATGAAGCTTTCCTATCATAGGTATATGACTTCTTCCTGAACAGGCTTCTCAACATTGACACAAGTACAACTAAAGCTAATTCCACATGCTCCGAGCTACTAACCCTCACGCACATCTGACCCATTTTCTGGCTATTCACATTGGCGCTAACCGACATCGACATACCACGGCCCACCCTAAATTCGGACTGTACACTTCCACCCAAAACCATCTCCTTCTCAAAATCAAGGACGGTCACAGCCAAACTCACCTTATCATTCCTCACCGGATAATCCTTCCCTTTCAAAGTCGTCTCCAAACTCCCACCAAACACTGCCTTCCCGCCGCCTCTCATGCCACCAGCATTCACTCTAAAATCCATCCTCTTTCCTGTCAGGAAAGTATTCACGAGCTTAGTCCCATAGTAGTACTGATCCCTGAAAGACGTCAACGAAATCCCGCACTCGGTTAAATTGCACTTGAAATTCCTCATCTTAGCATTGGTTCGGGCCGTGCATATCAACTCCCTGCCGGCAGACTGGACATCGAAGCCCAAGGTGTACGTGGACCCACTTCGGCCAGAAAAGCCCAAGGTAGATTCGGACTGGATGTTGAGATCTTGCTTGTCTTTGCTCATTTGTCCCGTGAGGCATGCCACAAGGTTCTTCTTTATTTCTGCAATTACCTCGAGATTGATTCCATCAAAGCCCACATCGTGGTCCCACCCGTTTGGATCAAGGACAGGCCTCGCAATCCAACTGTTATTGGTAACAAGGCACCGGAATCGATGCACGGGATTATCCGAGTCGAAACTCAGTGGGACCACCATGTCTGGGAGTAGAATTGCTTCTGGAGGATCATCTTCATTATTTTCATAGCCAGAGGCAGTACTATTATTGATTTTTTCTGTTCTTCGTATGTACTCCTGCCTCATCTGCTTCTTCAGAAAAAGGGTCTCCCTGTAATCGAGCTCGTCAAGATATTCCTTTTTCTGGAGAGGGGTCAACTTTTCGAACTGAGCTTTGGTCAGGATGCGAATGGGAGGTAACTGGTCATATTCATCTTCTTCATCCAGCTCGGGATTGTGAAATATTTCGCTCTCCTCTCCATCCGGGCTCATTTTCACACGATGTTTGAGGAAAGACGAGAGCAGGTGAGGCAAAGAAGGCGCGCGGGAGTTGCCGATAGGCCCCAACCGTATACTGTCATCTAATTTCAATAAGGCATTCACGTCGCCTAGAATTTTAGTGCACACACACAACAACATGAACTGGGACATCCACGCCTGTCCATTGGGAAGAACTTTCTTCCCTGATAGGTTCACTCTACACTGGGGGTGGTTTTCCACCAAGATCACGGGATTTTCTAACTTCCTGTCCATGATTGCCTGGTGAACGTGATGCTGGACAACCTGGGTGCAGAAGTTCACATATGAATCATAGCTCACCGGAAATCCACTCTGACCTTCCGGAAGGTCCGCCGAGGAGTGAGTCATGACAATGTTGGTGCTGAACCAAACTGCAGGCCCAAGGATGTCAGTGATAAGCTTGAGCAATGGAAAATCAGGGTAGCTTATGTCAATCAGATCAAGCCGTTCGAAATACAAAATAACGTCTGGACGTGATTTTCGTACGAATCGCTTCACGGATTGAAGGATTTCTCTATTTCTACGGTTGGAAATTGAGGAGGGAGGCAATAGACCGGGGGTGTCGATAAATGATATTTTAATGCCGTTCAAGTTTCCCGTAATTTCTTGAATTTGAGTCGTGGAAGGGTGGAATGCATCGGTCGTTACCTTTGATTCACCAAGAATGGAATTTATGGTGGAACTCTTGCCGACACCAGTTTTACCCAGAATGAGTATCTTGATAGAGAAATCCAGTTCCGGTACACCGGTTTCTTCTTGCTTTGCAGCAACCACTCGAGCTCTATCACTTTTGAGATTAACTTTCTTTAGATCTGATTCCCCGCTTCGTATCAAGGAGGCCAGGTGAATCCGGTATAAAACCTTTGCAACTGTAAGATTATCTTGCCACAGGTCAAGTCGTTGAATTATACGTAAAAATTTAATTTGTAATGCCATTACTTTTGAAAGAGGGTCCAAATCTTTCCCCTGGGGAGCAAAATTAGGTTCTGAAGGACTTTCCATTTCAGGGGTTGACAAGGGATTCTGAGTCATTTGATTATCACTTTGTGAGAACCGTGTTTCTGTAGAAACTGGATGTGAAGTTAAATTGGTGTTGGTTTGAAAGCCTGAGAAGAAATGGCAAGCAGTTTTCTGTGAGACAGCATTCATCATTATTCAGTTCAAAGATAAATCCAGAAATAAACAACAAAAACATGATTTCATTTAGCACGTCTTTACTCAATTACTCAACTGGAAGTTGACATTAACCTTCTACTGGAAGATAATAAAATGGAATATTCTATTTTTCTAGATTTTTATGTCATCTATTACTGAAAATGAAAAGGATGCGGTTATTGATGTAACAATGCTAGCCAAGAAGAATTTGAAAACTGACTTTGGCCAATGACAAAAGGAGACCAGCTACAAAGTAAACGGCGAACAATAGAAAAGAATCTCAAATGACATCAGATAATTCTTAATGCAGAAGGGATACCTTGATAGGGATCTCAAGTTGAAAGGTTCAGTAAAACAATTAGTACAACTGGGCAATACAATAAAAGATGTTCTATGCCAAAGGGAAATCCAATAGTAGTTGATATATTAAAGTCAAACTATTTTGTAGATGATGACACTATAGAACCACAATGAGATGCACGGTTCCACCAAGTGGCAGAAATTCAACCAGTGTGCTGCATTATGTGGTATCTCGTGATCATATGTCAGATAGCCATCTTGTTCATGCGTAGGTCATTAGTCGTCACAACTTCTCAAAAGAACTCCAGCATGCAACACCCTTTTTTTTTCTTTTTGGTTTTTGTTGAGGTAGAGCAATTTAAAATGTAAATTTCACTCAAAGTTTCTTTGTTCCGTGCAGAAAAAATAGAGAAATATCAAACGAGCTTTTGGGACGAAGCAAAAGAAAACAAATTGTCTCACGAAGCACTAAGGTGCAATAAAACTCAGGCTAGTTCCCTGCAAACAAATAGAATAAACCCTTATTGTAGGAAAACCTTCGAAGCCAATTAGGTTGCATGCTTCACTGCAGAAGGTGAATCAAAGCAACAGCATAAAAACGAAACAAAGAATTTAACTAAAGTTTTATCCCTTTATCTTACACACTACGATTAGCAATATAGCAATAACAATTTTTATTCAAAGAAAAAAAGGATTATACCTTGGCTTGCAAGATCCTCGTTCTGAGAATCCTCAGACAAAAAGCTTTCCGATGCAGAAAGAGGTCTGGTTGATCCTATTGACTTTGATATAACTTGAGAGAAAACCCAATCCTTAACACTCGCCATTCTAACAGCCTGATAACAGATAAAATTCGACCAATAAACTTCAGATGTCATAAAGAACATAAATGGTATTCTGCCAGGTGCAGTTAACGAGCAACTTAAAACAACCTGGTCCAGCATTAATGCTGAACAGCTTGACAACGAAGGTCGAGAAAATTCATCAAAATGGCTAAACATCACGTTGTAAAAAATTATTAGTTTGAGGGAACCATTCTAAGAGAAGCTTAACCCACAGAAGTTTTGCTAGTAGTTAGGAGCTGCAATTTATCTGTTGCATTAGTCTGAGAACACTTCAAAACTTAGTTTTGAGCCCTCAACATCTGTAAAACACAATATCCAATAATTCTATCTAAGAACATTAATTTGTATCCATAAATGATTATACAGTATTGCATTTATACTTCTTCTATATTTATATTAATGTAGAAACTAAATAAAGACAAGAATGGCAATTGGACATTAACAACAGGCATATATGGTCATCAACCGTGTGGAAAATGACCTCTGAACTGTTCTATCTCTCTTCTAAGAAAAGAAGGGCACAATTTCTTCCCAAAATACATCTCGCTAAACCATTTCAGTACAAATCAATGTAACAGTAGAACATAAGAACTCTCCTCAAAAACTTGAAACATAATAGACCACAGGTCACCTCTAATATCGGACCATCGTGGGGTAGGGTCCATCCATTTATAATCCAATTGACTGGTGGGTATGGAGGCAACTTTATAACTATATATAACCAAGGACACATAGAAAATGAATACGACTGGGTGGAAAACCACATATCCAAGTGATGCACATTATTCTTTATATATTTAAAGGTTTCTCCATCTCAATAAGTCAGGTTTGAGAAGAGCCGTATTCCACTATTTGAAAGCAATTAATAGAACATTCTATTTGTCCATTGCAAATGCAGCTGGAAGAGTCATTATTGACAATTCTCCTGGTATAGTGCTACTAATGGACTAGATCAAAATGGCTCAATTAAATTCTAGTGCTTCTTCTATTAGTGAAGTTTCTAGAAAAAAAAAAATATATCAAACGACGCAATGCACCTTGGGTCGCTACGGAAACAGCCTCATTGTATAATTACAAGGGTAAGGTCTGCGTACAACTGACTCCCCAGACCCCAACCAGTTGGGAATATACTGGGTATGTGGTTGTTGTGGTTGTAATAGAACATTCTATGTTCATTCCACCTTTTCTACCAAAAAATGTGATGAAACACGAAGTTTTTGGAAATACACAATTAGTCACTTTTGTCTCCTCAATGTCATCAAAACAACTTTTACAATGAACACCAATATGAGTCCACATGCCCCAAAATAATCACTATCCACCTAATCAAAAGTTTACACTTACCAATCATTTCCTCACTCACTATTGTACCAACTGCATTTACATCTTATATATTTACTATCAAAAGCTCATATCATTCTTTCCACAACTTTCTTTATCATCACCAAATTCTAATTGAAATTTATCAATATGAAAGTACATCCAACGGTGCCCTTAACCCTCTGAAAGTTGTATGTTTTGGTTTTATGTACATCATAGCCATGGCACAATCACATCAAATTACAGATAAATGATACAATTGAGATGAACTTCGTGTATAGATAGGATCAAGAGATCAACCAAGGAAATCCATGATATTGTCATCATACTTAACCCAAACCATGACCAATATTGAGGAAACTGACAATCTGATGCAATCAGGAACTTTCTATTTATGAACTTAGAAAATTGAAGCGCATGGACACATGGCAACGGAAAGAACACGAAACTAACAAAAGCTTCTTCACCTAGTTTGGCAGTGTACACATCAATGCACAGGAAAAAAAAAAGTGTATCTAGAACCTTTAGTACACATTAAGCGGCAATAATATATAGCACATAATTTCTTTTACACTGTTTAAATAAAGATGAAAACTGAGCCTTAACCATGACGTGTGGAAAACCTAGGCACAGAGCAAAATACGATATCTGATAAAAGATATCTTCAGGGAAAGTGAGACTGGAATTCTTGGTCCCTTAAAAAGCTAGAAACTCCAATACCCGCACTATCTTTTAATTGACGATCCTACAAAGACAAAGGTCTAATTTCAGTGATTACCGGTTAATTGTATTCGAAAACCGGGATCTCCAAATCCTATAATTGACATCTCGAACAGGCGTGAATACAGCATTTGAAGGACAACTCCCATCTTGAAAGTTAGGTGGCATTTTTTGAATATATCGGCGATGCGACAAAAGTTGGTTAGAACCTCCTTCAGCGTGCGACGTCTAGTCTCACTTTGCTCTCCTCCCCCCATCTCAACTACAATATATTCTGCGGAACACCGTTCTTGCCAAGGTTGTATGTCTTTTTTCAACCTACCCAAGTCCAACCCATTTGGACCTCTTAGAGGTTATGCTCTACACGGTCCATAGTAGATAGAGCAAAATTATCAAGAACCCGCAGCACGGCAACACAAATTTTAACGAGTTACATGCCTAGGGTTTATGCGTGGCAATGTTACATTAATTCGACATCCAATCAGACCCAAACTGCCATAAGGCCCCATAGTTGGAAGGAATAACTTGATGAAACTCAATATAGGAAGAAACAAACCCGCACATCCTTTTTGCCAAAGCATTAATCTTTCCGACTTAACGCACACGAGAGCAGTCATTTTAACTAAAACCATTCCACAAAAATTCAGAAGGGAAAAAATGAACAAGTTCAACGCTGAAACAATTAACTAAAATAAGGGAAACTAAGCACGAATTACAGCATAAAGTGAACAGTGTTTTGGATACTTTACCTGATTAACACAAGGCTCGGCCTTCCCGATATTCACAACTCCAACGGGGCAAAATAAAGATAGAAAAAAAAAATGAAAAGTCGAACAAGTTCTTCACAACACGATTTTTCTACCCCATTTGCGAGAGATAAGAAGATTGTCCAAATATATAAAGCTCGAGCGACGAGGAGATCAAAAATGAGTTCCAGTGCGGGTAAATCGTGAAGAAGACGATGCAGGATGTTTGGGGGTTGGAAGAAGTACGATTCGGATAAGACCTCAAGACGGCACAGTACATCGAGGGCTCGAGCAAATTTGAGCCACAAGATTACGGCTACATTCGGTCAAAACAGAACCGAACCGACCGAATTTTCGGTTAAAAAATCGAAAACCCA